TTCTAGTATAGTAAGGAATCAATATTAAAAACAAAATATTAGTCATAATAAAAATAATATAAAAATTTAAATAAAATAAAATAAATATATTTTTAAAAATAAAACATCAAATGGCAAATTAAATAATAGTAAATAAATACAAAAATAAAAAATCGAAATAAAAGAATAATAAGTAAGGAATAAAAATAATATAAAAACTATCACATAAAAAAATTACAAATAAAACTGAAAAATAAATACATTTTAAATTAAAATATCTAAAAATATAGAAAATAAAAACCTAAAAATATATGTATATATATAATTGTAAGGAGTAAACACAAACACTATCTATAAAAAACACACACAAAAAAAATTGCATTGAAATATTTATATAGGTAGGAAATCAAATATGAAGTTAAACATAAACATGATTTCAGTGAACATAACCTATACAGCATCCAACAGCATAGGGAAACAAATGTATGACCATTATGATGAAGTCATAATTTCTGATTGCAAAACTTTGAACAAAATTTTACTTCTCTGAAGAGAGAGTGACTCTTAAAAAATGCATTATGAGATGCCAGTGCATTATTAATATTATACATGCGGATACTCACGTACTGAAACCTCCTCCTCTGCACGTCTGAATGGTTAATTAGTTTGAGCTCAGCAATTAAAGCACTGAAAAATGCTGGCAGCCAGTATCATGAAAAATTCCCATTACTGTTACGAGCTTTTATGGAAATAGCAATAACATTGCCAATTAAAGCATTCATCAACCTTAGACGCTTTCACACCTTATTGTGTTACAGCAACGTATTTTTGAACACAAACTGGATAATGAAGGGAACGAAGAGTCGAGACAATTTACAGGAATATATAAAATAAAAAATAACATGCAGTTCGACCACATTTGACCACAATCTGTGTTACTAAGTAAAACCTCCTCAGAAAACATTCTTGATGTTTTTTTTAAATTCTGTATTCATGTGAAAAGTACACAGATGCAGACAGATTAATTGCATAATTATGTATTTAATTAAACTAACGTTGCACTGTTTAACGCAATAGAACATTTATGTAAAAATAAAGGTTCTTCAATGGCATTTTTGGTTCCATGAAGAACCTTTAACATCCATGGAACCTTTAAAGATTATTTATACAGGAAAAAGGTTTAGATTAGTAAAATGTTTTTCACAGTTTTTCACTATAAAAATGGTTTAAGAACTGTTGATTGAAAGGTCGAAAAATGGTTCTTTTATGGCATCACTGCGAAAATCCCCATTTGGAAACTGTTTATTTATTTGTTTGTTTGTTTATTTATCTTGTTTTTTAAAGGAAAACTTCACCAAAAAAATTAAAAATTGCTGCAAATCGACTCACCCTCAGGCCATCTAAGATGTAGATGAGTTTGTTTCTTCATCGGAACAGATTTGGAGAAATGTAGCATTACATCACTTGCTCACCAATGGATCCTCTGCAGTGAATGGGTGCCGTCAGAATGAGAGTCCAAACACCTGATAAAAACATTACAATAATCCACAAGTAATCCATACGACTCCAGTCTAGCAGTTAATGTCTTGTGAAGTGAAAAGCTGTAATAAACAAATCCATCATCATTGTTTTTAACATAAAAATGTTGCTTCCAGCTAAAATATGAGTCCTCTGTTCAAAATATTGCTTTCTCCAGTGGAAAAAGTCATCTAATTTGAATCAAGAGAGAAATATGCACAGACCAAACACCATTTACAAGCAAAAACAGTTCTAAAAAAATATGTTGGTGGATTTTGATTTTGATTTTGAGAGAACAACAGACTTTCCCACTGGTGTTATTATGGATTATTGACTCGTATCTTGGCCAGAAGTGATGGTTTAAAGTTAAATGCCTTATTGATGGATTTGTTTATTACAAACACGCAACTTCACAAGACATTATTTGATGGACTTGGAGTTTTGTGGATTATTGAGATGTTTTTATCAGCCGTTTGGACTCTCATTCTGACGGCACCCATTCACTGCAGAGGATCCACTGGTGAGCAAGAGATGTAATGCTACATTTCTGTATTTTTGAGTGAACTATTGCTTAAAAAGTGTAGCTAGGATTTCAGACTGAAGCATAATGTGAACGTTACAGACATTCAACAAAACAGTTAGCTAACTGGTCACAAATCTGACCTTCCCCGAGTTATGTCTTGGGGAAATGAGATATGGAAACTCTGACCCTCTTTTCTAATAAGATGCAGCATCCCTCAGTGGACGAGAGTCCCACATATCTCATCCCCAGATGTTTGTCACAGACAGTGAATATTTTTATACGCTCCGAGTCTGTCCTAAACTCCAATGGGAAGCGAAAAAGAGAAGCAGGCCGAAAAAAGGAAGGAAGGAAGGAAATAAAAACCGAAAGAGACGTCTTCCTCCCGTGCCCCTTTGAAGTGGCGTAGCTGCCACAGTTGGGTAAGAAACAGCCGTATTGCTCAGGGAGACTGAAATCTTCCCCCTTAAGACGTCGTCTGAAGTGTTTCGCCATAAATTGGCCCACCTAGCTTTGAGGATTTTCCTTTGTCCCTTTCATGTTTGTGCGTTCTCCCGGGATGGCAGCCGACAGCCGAGGTTATGGACGTGGAGTGTAGAGTAGAGGACGAAAGGGACTCCAAAGCGGTGTGACTCAGGAATAACAGACGGACAGTTCAAAAACAATCCCAGGAATCTAATTTCTTTGTACATCGGACTGGAAGTCCGTCCTCTGACTGGTCAAAGAACTGGTGCTGGGATTTCGCTTCTTTTGTACTGTGTTCCTGTCTTTTGCTTTTCTTATAGGATTGAGGAATGGCGGAAAAACAGGAATGAAAGTGAAATTCAGGAAATAAAGCGTTTCAAGGGGCCTGCATTGTTTCATTTATTAAGTTAAACACTTATTATTGCTGTTCATTTGGGACATAGTTTATGCATGGTTCCCATCATGCACTCTGTTTTTTTTTTCCCAAACAGGAGTGGTCTTTCACTACCGTGCGCCTCACGACCGCTACGCGCTGTCCTTCACTGATGCCAAAAGAGTTTGTCTGGAGAACTCTGCCAATATTGCCACACCAGCCCAGCTGCAGGCCACTTTTGATGACGGCTACGACAACTGCGATGCCGGCTGGCTGTCGGACCAGACTGTGAGGTCAGAACAAGAGATTAGTCCATTTTTGGAAATTGTGCCTTTATATTTAGCATTTAAGACATCTTTGATTTGTTTATGTAATTCTGTTTCATTATATTTAGTGTATTTATAATATTTTATTAAACATTTTAATGTTTATTTTATTTTCAGCATTACAAATGTTACCCTGGACCACAAAACCAGTCATAAGGGAACATTTTTGGAAATTGAGATTTATACATCATCTGAAAGTTGAATAAATAAGCTTTCTATTGATGTATTGTTTGTTAGGATAGGACAATATCTGGCCGAGATACAACTATTTGAAAATCTGGAATCTGAGGGTGCAAAAAAATCTAAATATTGAGAAAATCGCATTTAAAGTCGTCCAAATGAAGTTCTTAGCAATGCATATTACTAATCAAAAATTTGGTTTTGAATGGTAGGAAATTAATTTTCTTTACTTAATATTCTAATGATTTTTTGGCATAAAAGAAAAATCGAAAATTTTGACCCATACAATGTATTTTTGGCTATTGCTACAAATATACCCCAGCGACTTATGACTGGTTTTGTGGTCCAGGGTCACAAATGTCTAGCATTTATTTTATTTTATTTCATTGTATTTTCAACAGAACAAAAGTGCAGTATTTTTGGTTGTGTAAATTTATAATATTCAATAAAAGTTTCTGTAATTTAGTTTTAATAATATTTTATAGAATATTCAAATATTTTATTTTATTTCATTTTCAACGTGACAAATGTCTAATATTTTATCTTTATTCAAATATTTCTAACGCTGTTAAACTGGAAAAAATTTATCGCATGCGTTAACAGTCATTTTGACAGCACTAATATACGTGTGTGTGTGTGTGTGTGTATAGTATATTTATTTTATTGAATATTTTTGTTTTATTTTTAACATGATAAATGTCTTCTATTCTTTGTCTTTTTATTTTATTTTAAACCTGAAAATTGTCTAGTATTTTATTGGCTTGATAAATAATATTTTATAGAATATTCTAATATTTAATTTTATTTATTTCCTTTTCAACTTATCAAACATCCAGTGTTTTATTTTTGTGTATCTATAAAATTTTAGTGAATATTTCAATGTTTTATTTTATTTCAATATGACAAACCAATAATTTTAGTATATTTAGAATATTTTATTTAATATTTTTATTTTTTGATATGACAAATGTCCAATTTTTTTTTTTTTTTTTTTAAAGGACAAATGTCCAGTAATTTTTGTATGTTTAACGACAAGAACAAGGAAGAAAAAAATTACAAGTTACAAGAGTTACAGGTCAATAACAAACTAGTATACAAAGTACATGCTGTAAAGGTTTACTAAGAGACCTTTTGCTTTTCTCTCAAGTCCTTCAATTTTGTGGACCAAACTCAGAAACAAGCATATGTTTGGGAGCAAACAAGTCTTTGAACATGTTTACATAATTCTATTCCCCAACGAATCTCTAAATCTTCTTTTTAATGTTACTTATAAAACTATCACTTTGTAGATCAGAATGAAATTTTTAGCTGCCGTGCTGATAAATTGGTCCCCCTTGCATGAAACAGAATAGCGCGACTTTCTTCAGAAGGAATCCGGGACTCAAAGCAATTTAATAATCAGCCGTTCTAATTAATCGTAATATCTATTATGTATCGACCGCATTACAACCCCGTTTCTTCAGGCTTGCCACCTCCAATCACTTTTCCGTGGCTGAATGTCAGGCGGCTATTGATTTCAACATTCATATCTACCGCATATTGTCAGCTCGTTATTGAGCCACGAGGCCCGGCCCTCACCGAATAAAAGGGTGAGCGGGTTTTTCCCTCCCTGCATGGAAGAGCTCTAATTGGGCCATCTCCAGAGAAGCTTGGCTACACATCAGTGAAGACGCAAACGTGCAATTAGCGCAAGCGTATGGAGACATCAGAGATCTCTGGACTGGGATGGAATATATGTGGGCTGCTTTAATGGTTTTATATAACTGACTTCAATATTTGGGCTGCGCGAGAACCCCTATCCGCTATTTCTCTTCGGAAACCCTGGAGTGCCATGTTTAATCTCTTAATCAGACTTTAGCCGGCACCCCTGCGCCATCCAAATCGATGCACTTTCCAGTAATTGCACAGTTTATCTTGCTCACTCCTTCCCTCCCTGGAAATGACTCCTGGTTTGTTTTGGCTCCTTACCCAGGTATCCCATCCAGTCGCCTCGGCCCGGCTGCTTTGGCGACAGGGAGGACTCACCTGGCGTGAGGAACTACGGCAGCCGAGACCCCGTCGAGATGTTCGATGTGTACTGCTTTGCCACCGGCCTGCAAGGTACCGCAGATGCATTCAGTTACAGCTCAGTCATCCAAAAACTGTGTCTTTAAATGTCCTCGTGAGCCTCAGACAGCGGAGATGCATGTACCTGCTCATGTCCCAACTCCCAGAACATCTAAGTAGGTCACCATGCTTTCAGCTCAGCCCTACGGTTTATGCCAGAGCGGGTACAGTTATAACATGCTCTTTTTTTTTTAAAAAGTGCACGTCCATTTGTTTCGTGCAGGAGTGACGGTTCTGCCTCCTACTGTGAATTAGTATTCCTGAATGTCTTAAAAGTTTAATGCCTGTCATATTGGTGTAATTTATTCATTTATGTATTTTTACAGAACTTTTGTTTTAATTGATAAAATGTTTTATTTATTTGCGTGTTTATTTATTTGTCTATTTATTTGCGTGTTTATCTATTTGCCTATCCATCCATCCATCCATCTTTGGGTGGACTTATTTAGAATTATTTAGTATTGTCCTTGTATATTACGGTATATGAACAGAAATTGGATCTGTTACAGAAAAACAAAGCGATTTTTGCCATTGTGGTGGATTTTATGATAAACATTCAGTATTTTATTTAGTATATTTCTAATATTTCATTAAATATTGCTATATTTTTTTATTTTTAACTTGACAATGTCTAATATTTATTTTATTTTATTTTATTTTTATGCATGACAAACATCCAGTTTAGAATAAGGAAGATAAAAAAGAAAGCACAGTTTCAAGTATACAAGTGGTACAAGTATGGAACATAAATTATATACAAAGTACATCAATTTAATGTGATATGTAATGTAATGTGTACAAAGTACACAATTAAAAGATTTGAAAATATATCCAAGGCTTTACAAAAAAATACTTTTTGAAATGTATAAAATTGTTTTTGGACGACTGTTTACATTTAAGGATAAAAATATTGCATAATTTAGCCGTTTTTATTTTATTTTATAGCATGAAAATAATCAAACATCATTTTCGTTTAGAAGCCCTTCATTGTTCATTTTCTTAAAAAAATCCCACCAAAACAATTTTATAGAAATACAGTCAAAAATGTACGGAGCCCTGCACATGACATGCAAGAAAAAAAATACTAACAATATAATAATTTGTTCCCTTTGTTTTACTAAATCGTGCGAAGGACATAATTCGCTCCCTCATTTTACTAAATTGTGCACACAAAATAATAATTTGTTCCTTTGCTTTACTAAATCGTGCACACGACATGGTCATTGTCGCATTGTGGTCACAATTTAGTTGAATCAAATCAAGTGAACAATTTTTTATATTGTGGGCACAACTTACTTAAAACGAGGGAACGAATTATTAAGTTGTGTGCACGCTTTGCTATTTTCTTCCTGCGTGTCATTTGCGGGGCTCTGTAAAAATGTATAAACAATACATTAAATCTCGTTGGTACAAAAAGTACATTTGAAGTTTTTCGTATATTTAGCAATGTTTTACAGTGTAGATGTGTTAAACAATATTATGAATATATAACCAAATTTAGTTTCTTTATAAAGTTTATTTATAGGTCTCATGTTGCAAACAGCAGAATTCTTATGGGAAATTAGCACTTATAAATAACGCGCACTATCCATCTTTGCTCTCTCTAGGTGAAGTGTTTCACACCAGCGTGCCGGAGAAGTTGAGCCTGGTATCTGCTTCCACTCACTGCCACACTCTGGGAGCTCAGCTGGCCACGGTTGGGCAGCTCTACCTGGCCTGGCAGGGTGGCCTCGACCGCTGCGACCCCGGCTGGCTGGCTGACGGCAGCGTGCGTTACCCTATCAACCTGCCCCGGCGTAACTGCGGAGGAGATGAACCAGGAGTACGGACCGTTTACCACAACCCCAACCGCACCGGGTTCCCAGACACTAGTGACCTTTTTGACGCCTACTGCTATCAAGGTTGGTTGAACTACTGGCCTTTCTCTGTTTTGCTACAGGCATATATTCATACAAAGATCTTTTCATCTTTTTGGGGGGTTTCGACCTCAATGATGAGCTGGAGATTTCTTTTTTTACTTTGAGAAGTTTCATTAAAAATTCTCTTACATCCCGTCTACATAATTTTGGAGCATACTTCCGAATAATTTATCAAGAGATTCACCCTTGTGTCAGGAGTATCTAAAAAATGTATGATATGAGGATTAGGTTAAATTCGTATTACGGACTTCTGTATGGATATCTGCTTCATAGTTTTATCTGTCAGTGCCGCCATTAACGAGACTATCTTCCTCTTTCAGAGAAGAATTTCGAAGAGCAGGGGGTGATACTCCACAAAACCCTAGAAAACTCCAATTTGAACTCTTCAAGCGAAGAAGAGGTGCCGCTCCAAAGAAACGGAGCCTTCCCTGAACCTTCAACTTGGACCGGTCTGGTCGATCTCGAGAAAGAAGACTTCAAGTCCATCATAAACAACGAATCTTCTGAAATCTCAGAGGAGCATGTTGTAATCCATCTTGGACCTGAAGAAAGGTCTGTAGAATGGGAAGACGATGCTGTGGAGAAGCAGGAGAACCTTAACCTTCAAGGGGGTTCGGCGAAAGAGGAGACTGATGATTCAGATGGTCCCGATGTGTCTCCTGACCCGTCTTCAACCACGCCATCTTCCTCTACGCAAGCTCAGACCAGCAACAGCGTCATTTCCAACTTTGTGAACACAATAATGAAGCCATTTAGGTACTGGACCGGGACTGGGGAACCTGCGATACTGGCCACAGAGTCCAGCCTCTACAGAGGAACCTCAGAAATGGTCCCACCTGCCAGGACGAAGCCAAGTAGAGAGAAAACAAGCAAAGTTGGTGCTGATAACGCCATCGTGGAACCTAATATCAAGGAATATTCATACAATCCCTCCTCGTCAGATCCAGAAGAAGAACTCTTGGAACAGGAGAAAGAAGTGGTCTTGGTGGCTGTACAGCAGGAGATAAAGAGTCCAAGCAATTCTTATATGGATCATCCATATTCACAGACCTTCACAGACAGCTTCACTGGACCAACCAAAGGTACAACACACTCGTCCAAAGCTTAATAGAATATTAAGCATGTACAATTACACTAGACCATGCAGCTCCTCTTCTTAATTGAAGTTTGTGAAGTAGGTGAAGCTCGTGCTTAATTTAGTTGAAGTAGGACTTGATTACATTTTGTATTATTTTATACTTGGTTTATGTAGAACTGGGTGATGTGAAACCACAAAAGTGAGTTTCCTCTATTATAGATTTTTGGCCAAGAAGTCAATCTTTCAACCAAGAGGTCAATCTAATGTTTATTGGTCAATAGATGGGTGTTTCTTAAAGGAGTCATATGATGTTGCTAACAAGAACATTATTTTGTGTATTTGGTGTAATGAAATGTGTTTATGTGGTTTAAGGTTCAAAAACACATTATTTTCCACATACTGTACATTATTGTTTCTCCTCTATGCCCCGCCTTTCTGAAACGCGTCAATTTTTACAAAGCTCATCGTTCTGAAAAGCGAGGTGTGCTCTGATTGGCCAGCTATCCAGTGCGTTGTGATTGGCCGAATGCCTCAAGCGTGTGACGGAAATGTTACGCCCCTTACCATACTGTGATGCCGTGACCTGTTGCGACGAGACAAAAACATTAAAACCCATTATAAACTAGGCATTTGTTGCATCCAGTGGGGATATAATTATGGATTATAATGACTTATACTTTTATTTTTTTACGCGTTGCGTTGCATCGCGCTGCGTAAACATAAAACCATGTCTGCATTTGTGATCAGAGAAACGACAAACAACAAGCGCTACTCTACACTGCTCAAAACTCGCGTTTGAGTCATCAGTGGCAAATTCTTTAAATATAAAAACGTACTTACAGACTGTGAGTCAGAACTGCCGGCATTATAGTCTACTCTTCCAGGATCAGGAAACAGTCCTCCATAAAATGTGCTGCACACATCTGGATATTTGGGTTAAACTGTTCTGGAACAGTGTTGTAAATACAACTTAACCACTGATTTCTAGTCGTGTCCTCTTTTGGAAGACCAAACAAAGTATTTTTGCTTTCGCAACGAAACACAGCGTCTTCACAACATGGCAGCAACAATAAAGTTATGCCTTCTTTCTTTGCTTGAACATTTGGGCAGCGTTATGCAAATCTTCCCACATCGTGACGTAGACATGTGGGGGCGTGTTTGAACGAGGCGTTTTAGGAGGGTGTGGACGAGTCTTAACTTTTATAAAGAACATCTCTTTGGGTTTGAGACTTTAGTCTTTGCAACTTTAGGGATCTTATCTATTCACGAACAGCTTGTAACACTCCAAAGAGAAAGGACACCTTGAAATCGCATCATATGACCCCTTTAAACTTCGACCATTAAATTACGTCTATATCTAATTTGTGGCAGCATTACCTGAAGACGGTTCATATTTGTTAGTGGACAAATAAAGTGTGAAAAGTTGTTCATGTCCAAAAGTGCCCATGGTTGAAGAAGCACCAATGAAAGGAAGTGAACAGAGAAAAAAAAAATCATGTATAAAAAAAATAGTTTTTATCCATTGTAAATTAGTGGAAGGACATATTTTTGGTATTTCTTCAGCTGAATCCAAGTACACATTTCAACACTGAATGGACTGTACTTTTAACCCTCATAGTGTGGCTTTCAGTGCGGCAAATCAGATATGGTGCAAAGATAAATGCCCTTGGCATACTATGTCCTCCAACAGCTTGCTGTTTATTTTTTCATTGTTTTGAAAGAAAAACAATATGGCAGCAAATGGTTCTTCAGGCACAGGCGCCGAAGAGGAAGGTTGCCGACACGATTCATTCTCTGGAATACAAAAGTGGGAGGGACGCTGTAGAGGTCACAGCACTGAGATGTATTCCTGCCATCGGCTCTAGGGCTTTTAATGGATATCAATGTTTGTCATATCTGTGCCAAGTAAAGCAGCATAGTAAGAGAAAGCAAAATGGGATCCAACCTCTGAAAATTTAGTGTTGCGAGCCTTAGGCTGAGAATGAAGCATGTCTAACTGGTGTGGTTTTAGCGCGATGGGTTTTGGCAGCAGTCTGTTCTCAAGGCATCATCAGTACAAATATCCTCCCCGCAAACCAAATTCAACAGGGAACATTAATGTTTAATGCCGGGTGAAAATCCAGCTTTAGTCAGCATGCATTATTTACATCAGAATCTAATTAATGTGCTTTGGCCAAAACCGCAGGCACCACTACAAATTCCAAGTCTCTCCCAATTATACGAGGCGTGATCATCGTCAGGGCCATGGAGTGTGTGCGTAAAGATACTCCGGACTCAATCTGGCTGTTTCCGTTCATTTTTCCTCCAGCAGAGGTCATTTAGTCGAGTTCGGATTCACTGGCTATTTCACCCTTCGCTGCATGCTGCTCCGTCTCTCCCCTTGTTTCGAGTTTCATTACATAGAGCCTGTTGAGAATTCAGAAAATCCTGCCATCTTTTATATAAACTCACCATGTCCTTGAGTTCCACAAAATATTGTATACGGATAAATGTGTGCTATGAACAAATTCTCTGAAATGCATACGTTCCATAGAACAACGTGCTTAAGTATCCGTTTTGTTGAGTGTCCAGATGCTTGAGCTTTATTTACCCTGTTTAAGGGGACACTTAAACCACAAAATGCCTGAATGTCATTGCATTAGATACAAAATATCAAATCAAGTGGCAGTTAATCTAAAGAAAAATGTTTTATACATGTTAAACTAAAAAGCTAAACTATGGAACCCTGTTGCTGCCTCAAAGTAAAAAAAATCTCTCAATTGTAACTTTGTCTCATATTTGGTATTTTTTGTCTTATAATTTAGAATTTATGTATCTCACAAACCTTATATCACATTTTTCAATTAATATTTCTTTATATTATTTACTCTCCTGACTGATTTGTTTCTAAATGCAACTTTATATCTCAGAATTGCAAGTTTAGTTCTTCTAACTACAACATTGCATCTCCAAATTGTGACTTTTTGTCTTATAATTTATGTCTAACAATTATCACTATTCTCACAATTTCGACATTTTCTCACAATTGCGACTTTATATCTCGCAGTTTTGACTTTATATCTCATAATTGTGCCTTTTTTCCAATGCGACATTTTATCTAATGATTGTGACTTTTTTCAATATTGAGACTTTAAATCTAATTATTGCAACTTCTTTTCCTAATTACAACAACATCTTCTGAATGCAGTGTTATATCTCACAATTGTGACTCTTTTATCCCAATTGTGATATTATATCTGACAGTTTTGATTTTATATCTCATAATTGCAACTTTAGTTCTTCTAACTGCAACATTGTATCTCCAAATTGCGACTTTTTGTTTTATAATTCGGACTCTCCCGAATGCAATACTTTCTTCCAATTGTGACATTATATCTCGCAATTGTGACTTTTTGTTACAATTCCGACTTTATATCTCATTATTGAAACTATTTTCCCAGTTGCAACATCTTCTAAATGCAATGTTATATCTTACAATTGCAACTTATTATTCCAATTGCGATATTTTATAATTGCGACTTCTTCTGAATGCGACTTTATATCTCAGAATTTCGACTTTACATCTACCAATTGCAAATTTATGCCTCTTGGTTGTGACTGTCTCACATTTAAACTTTCAAAATTGGGATTTTGCATCTCCCAGTTTGGATTTTTTTTTTCTCCCAGTTGCAAATGCATGTCTCACAGTTACGATTTTTTATCTCATAAGTGTGACTTTGTATCTTACAGTTGCAACTTAATAGCTTACAGTTATGACTATTCATATTTGTAACTATATATCACAAAATGCAGCTTTGTATCACCCAGACTAAAAACCACCTTGACACTAGCTGCTTAAAAGTAATCGCAAAAATGGATATAAAAAAGGCAGCAGCTATTTGCACTAAGTGTAAATAGTGATGGATGCTATTTACACTAAGTGAAAATAGCAGTATTTTAACGATATGCTATTTACACTGTGCAAATCGCTATAGATTCTATTTACACTATTTTAAAATAGCAAGATTTTCTGCTATTTATACTACTTATTGCTAACAGTGGCAATTATCTGCACCTCAGTATTGTAGTACATTATAAAACAGTACGCAATAATAACATATTTAGTGTAAATTATAATTTTAATTCAAATTATTAAATTAATGCCACCTTATTGGGACAATAAAGCCCTCCCTACACCTACCCTAACCCTACCCGATACTTTATTTTCAACTTTTTTATTATTTCCTTCATTTTTATTGAAAATAAATGCCTTTCCGATGCGATATGAGATTTGAAAAGAGAGAAAAAATGTTTGGCAAAAGGCGGGTTGCCGGGTTCGATCGCTTCAAAAAGCATGCACCTTACCATCTACGCCACTGAAACTGATGTTTAAGGAGCGTTCTTTCTCAGTGTTGACTATCCCAATCACACACTGGTGGGTGGAGTTAGTGTAAACAGCCTCTGCCAACAAGGCGGGCTATTTGCACTTAGTGTAAATAGACACTCTGATAAAAAAAAAATCCCTCACAGCTTTTGCATGCAGATGCCACTTGGTTTGATCTTGCTCCAAATACTTTACATTGTGTGGGTAATTGTCCCACTATTACAGTACATCCAGGTAATTGGTAGAATCTATTTAATTTCCTGTGACTGCAGAGAGTAATCAGTTATTCATATTATTAATTGCTCAATTACTTGGTTATGTAAATTGCACCACATCCATGTGACACCGCAACAGCAGAGTCTTGAATAATTCATTATTGTTTCATATTTCATTGTGTGTACCGAACATATGGTCTGTGAATATCTAAAACGGCCTAAATGCTAAACACTGCTTGTTTCCTTTAAGGCAAAGCATGTTACCTGAGCAGATATATGAATTATCCATGCACACAGTAAATACTTAAGCTAAACCAAATATCTCTTCCACACAGCCAGTGAAACCTTTGTTTAGGATTTGGTTTAGCACCGTGTACTGCAGTATGCAGTAGTCACTTAATAATAATAATAAGTCTAGTGCTTACGGTGTTTTTACTTTATTGCGCTTTGAATTAATACCTACATACATCATGATGTAAATCAAGACCTTTTTGCTTCTTGAACATAAAGATTTGGGTCTTATTTTGTCTAGATTTACTGTTAGAAAGCATTGGGAATTAACGGCACCGGACAGGAGCATGATGTACGAGTTCTTTGTGCCGGGGCAACATAAAGAAAAAGAACCTTATTACCTGGATTGCTTTCAAAACGAATGTACATTTCATCCCCGTTTCACCCGGGAGTCAAATATTACCCTTTGGGAAGAGAATAAAGGTCGTTTTAGCTACGCTTGTAGCTCATTTTTCCTTTGAAACAGGGGTTTGATTAAAAGATAGGTGTGTTGAGACCGATAGATTAATTGCTGGATATCTCCAGGGCATTGACGGATAAATAATGACAGTTCTATATCGAGCCGCACACATTAAAGTTAATTACCATAGTTCTGGGGCGGGAGTTAGCATATTTTGCTCGCTAATTAAACATACATTTAAATGAAACAATCTCCTCCCTCGCTCCGTTAATCACAGTGTTTTGTCATCTCTGCAGGAGCTATTAGATCAGGAACGGCGGATCCGACTCTTTCTTCGGCATCTAAGAGCTTTGGTTCCATGAGGAGCAGCCAACAAATTTTGCCGCTAAAGTCCTTGAAAGTTGCCCCAAGCAATAATAGGCATTTCATAACTCAAACAAGCAGTCCCATGGAAGCCAAAAGAGCCAGTTTGGAGATCATGACCATTCCTGTTTTCAGCAACAACCCTGAGAACTTCTCCGGGGAAGGGAAAGACTTGAACGAGGATGGTTACCCTATTCCCAAAGGTCCTCTGTCACCGTTATCTGCAGAGGAAGAAAAAGATGGCGAAGGAAGTGGAGGGAAGGAGTTACCGTTCACCCTTGACCACCAAATGAATGGATCCGATGACCACGGTGTCCCGCTGGAGACCACTGTCAGATGGCAGCTTATGAGTCTCCAGACGACTCAACCTACTAGTGAACCCAAGCATGAGAAACCAGCCGACACGGTTGAGGAAGCCAGGGGGGAAATCATGTACGTCCATCGCCCCATTGAAAAACACAAGAACAATCCCTCGAATAAAGTCAACATGCCTTTTGTTAAACGGAATCAAGACCTAGGGTTGACTATTGCACCGGAAACACACACTTCCAACACACCTACCACACCAAGCCCTGGAGATCCCAACGAGGACAAGCTAGCAATTCAACCACCAACCGTAGGAATCACTCCTTCCCAGCCTGGAGAAGAAACCACTACCGAAGACATTTTGTGTACTCCAGATCCAGCCGTTTCCAGCACGTGGTTACCTGTGGTTCAAGAGGAGGTAGATACTCCACAACCACTGGTTCCTACCATAATAATGACGCAAGCTGGGCCTACGGTTCTGCCGACTAGTCCAGGTCCAAAGGACACTTCCCAGCAGGCTGAGTCCAGGTCAGGAGGGTCGGAGTCTTTTGTGTTGGCTCAGGGCTGGATAACATCTGAAGCAGTTCCAACAGAGGAACCTTCATCCCAGACCACAGGAAAGCCAGAGAAAGACACAACTGTGGCTGGGAGTGAAAACAGCCCCTCCAGAACTTCAGGTAAATCGCTCTTCAGTTGCGTTCTGTTGATATGAGAATCTAAAGGCCTGTTTACAACATGAAAGATACGAAATGCAGTAACACTTTAGTTTAGGTACCAATTCTTACTATTAACTAGTTGCTTATTAGCATGCATATTACTAGCATATTGCCTCTTTATTAGTGCTTATAAAGCCTTAATGCCTTGTTCCGCATGACCATTTTTTACATCCCTTAATCCTACCCTATATCTAAACTTAACAACTACCTTACTAACTATTAATAAGCAGCAAATTAGGCGTTTATTGAGGCAAAAGTCATAGTTAAGAATTGGTTGCCAAACTGAAGTTTGACCTGAAATGCTTTGAGAGAGCTTACTTGGGTTTGTTTATTTGTTTGATTTTTACTCTGCTTCATTCTTTTGTTATTTTCTTCATTCTTTTATTCCTGTCTTTCATCTTTAATAGTTTTGTTATTTTTTTTCTTTCCTCCTTTAGCCCTTCTCTTTCATTCTTTAATTTTCCATTCTTTCTAATTTGTTCTTTATATTCCTATACATGTCTTTTGTTTTCTCTTTCTTTTCTTAAATTTTGTTTTGTTCTTTTTCTTACATTCTTTTCATTTTTATTTTCTTTTTCAGTTATGTCTTTCTAATGTTCTTTCTTTGGCACTGTATTTTTTTTTTATTCTTTCCTGCTTTCATTTGTTATTTTCCTTCCATTCTTTCTTTATATCATTCTTTAATTTGTTCTTTCTTCCATTCTGTCTTTCCTTCTTTTTTCATTAATTCGTTTATTCCTTTAGTTTATTTAATTTATTTTTGTTATATTTTTCCTTTTTCTTTCCTTTTATTTGCACTTTTTTTGCTCTTTTCTTTTTCTTTTTTAATCTCATTGTTTTTCTCAATTTATTTTAGTTTTTGTTCTTTCATTCTTTTGATATTTTTCCTTCATTATTTTTCCTTCTTTTGCCGCCTCCTGCTCTTTCATTTTTGCTTTTTCTGTTTGTTTTTCATTCTATTATTTTTGTTTCTTTCTTTTGCACATTGCTTTATTTTTCGTTTTCTTTTATTCTTTATTTTGACTTTTCTTTGTTTTGTCCATTCTGTTATTTCATTTTTTTTTTGTAATTTTTTCTTCCATTATTTCTTTTGTTCATTGTTTATTTTCTTTCTTCAGTTCTTTCCATCATTCTTTCACTCTATATTTCTTTCTTTTGTTCTTTTTTCATTCTTTCGATCATTCTTTATTTTGCGCTTTTTTGCTTTCTTCCTTTTTTTTGTTTTTCTCCTTATGTCTTTCATTCTTTATTCTTTATTTCTTTTTGTTATTTTATTTCTTTCCACTTTTCGATAATGTGTTTATTTCTTATTTTCCTTTATATAATTTTATTCTTATTCTTTTGGTCTTTCCCTTTCTATTTTGTTTTTTCATTCATTCTTCCTTTCTTCCGCTCTATATTTCTGTCTTTTGTTCTTTTTTTCTTTGCGTGGTAAACAAAGAAATGAATAGCTGCAGCCTCAGAGTAATTAGAGGGTTAGGGCCAGTGCAATTAGAGAGTCTCGCTAAGGCAGAGATCTTAGTCTGAAACAAATCAATGTTGACAGAAGCCAGTAGATGTGTTCAGTAATTGACTCCATTCTCGCTCTAGTCTATATGCATGTTTAAATTGGTGCCGTATACATAAGCTCAACCTCCCCTTGTTCAAATCAATTTCTTTGGGTAGGAGTTTCCTAGGGTGCAAGACCTCAGAAACACACTTCAGCAAACAAAATAATGATCTTGAAAGCAGCTCTAGTAGGCCTCTGGCATAGAATAAATGTAAACAGATGGGCATCTTTAAGCATACAAAACACATAAAAGAATGAATAATTTAACCCAGACCATACAGCCCCAATGAGACATTTTACAGCATTTGACGCATGTTTCTGCAGCATAAAGTACGTAACTACAGAACAAAAAGGTTTTTCATGGTAAGATTTTGTCTGTCTGCTAAATGAATCATTGCTGCAGAGCTTTGACTGTTTAGCATATAAAAAACGATGAAGAACTTTGAAATGCACGGAAAAGACGAGACAAAACTGCTGCTAAACAGCTGTTTTCAACTGACAGAAAGAAACACGCATTCGAGCAGATTTTTTGCCTGAGGATTTCCTTCCAAAAACCCGGTTGCTTTTGAGCACAGAGAGCAGAGAGTCCTGTTTGTCCTCCTTTTCCTGCAGCGCAGGTGGAAGTTCATAAGCCTTTTTAATCAATGATCTGCTGGTGGAGAGGCTGCTGTTCTCTGCCTCTCCCCCGAGGCCCTTTAGGCATCAGAGAAGTGGTTTTTGAAAAATAGCCGCCGTCTCGGTAGTCATAACACCAGCACTAGACTGGCTTGCCCTTAATTAGAGAAGCACGTCGCTCTGCGATAAGACGAGGAGGTGCTGTGTCTTACGTGACTTTGCTGTTCCATCACTCTTGCTGACATGGCTTGGAGCTGTTTGCACATGGAAACAGACATGTTCATCGCTCTTTGTAAGATAGACAGGTGCAGTGTACTCATTCACACGCACATACTACATACACTGTCACAAAACCACCCAATTTTTTGAGCAAGCCAATAATAATAAGTAATAAATTTTACTTAGATTTTTTTTTTTTTAGTTACATTTCTTTTTAGTTAGTTTTATTTCATTTGATTTTTCTAAAATGTAAATATTTTAATTTTGCTTGAACATGCTTGAACTTGAACATGTGCATTTTACAAAATCTCTCTCTCTCACACACACACACACACACTACACTCTTACAGACCCACGCTATTTTTTATTGTTAATAACTTAACATATTTATTTTATTTTATCATTTTTTCTGTGGATTTTTATATTTTATTTTATTTTATATTATATTTTGTTTTGTTACTATAAACATTCTTATATACTCATGCTATTTTTATTGCAGGGGTTAATAAATGAATTATGTACTGTAATTCATTTTACTCTGATTTTTATTTTATTGTATTTTATTTTATTATTCTATTTTTATTTTATTATTTTAGTAGATTTTGTTTTTCTTTCTTTTTTTGTTTTTTTATTTGAATTTAATTTATAAATTTTTTTCATTTTGCTAAAAGTGTCATTAAATTTGATTTATTTTGCTGAAATGTTAATATTTAATTTAATTTTAATACAGCATGATGCACCTATAAACATACATGTTCGCATTATATTTTTTTTACATCGATATGCATTATTGAATTGTATTTAAAATTAAATGATATTTTAATGTTTTATTTTACAGATATGTTATTATTTAATTTCAATAATGTTTTTATTAAAAATTTTTTAAATATTTTAAAATACAAAAGTATTTCAAAATATCTCAATTTAAATAGTTTTGAGACTTGCCAGTTATTAGGTTTCACATATATCGCATAGACTTGGTCGGCATTGCTGGGAACGCCCAGAAAAACGTCATATCCGTTTATGCCGTGGGGGAAAACAAACCATTCAAATTAACATGCAGAGACCCTGTTAGGTGCTTGATCTTTACTCTTTGTTATGATTTCTATTCTTTTTTTCCTGGTGAAATGGCGATAAGTTGCTGTGTGGCGTTCTGCACCTCTAATAAGCTAAAAAAAAAAACGATCTGTAGATTTATATACTGCCGATTAACAGACGGAGGTAGCACAATCTGAGCGGGTAGCACAAATCATCAGAACACCGGCAAGGAGAACAGTAGTTATGGATATACAATGAAACATATCAAGCTTAATATTCATATTCATATGCACTCCAGATAGGCTACACTACTTACCCTGTAATGACCTGTCATTACAGTCCCGTCCCCCTGCACCACAACCCTTGTTTTCACATCACAACGAAATAAATGTCATACTCATAACCTATTAAAACATTTATTTCATATTATTATAAACAATCCTTTTATGAAAATTAAAAATGGTTTTACTATAGTAAATGTGTAGAAGGTTTTTATTACCAATTGTAGCCTATAACCACAGTTTTACTACAAACACCATGGTTAAACTATGGTAAGTGCAGCAAAACCATGGTAATTTTTTTTTTTTTTACCATGGTTTAACTATAGTAACCATGTTTTTGTTTTTTTGGTTGTAGTACAAAACAACATGGTTCATTTTCGTAAGGAATACTTTCATGTTATTTTATATCTATTTATTTTACCGCATGTATTTGTGAAAATGATAAGGCTATACGTATACCACATAGAATAACGCTGCACATTTCAAGGCACTTCAGTGGACCTTTAATGTTACCTGTGTTTTGTCAATGTTAAAATTCTTTCTAATATACCAATAAAAAAGTATGATAGGCTTTTTACTCAGGTCTTTATCACTTTATTAAAATTATGCAAAACAAAATGACAAATGTTTACTTTCACATGCCGTCACGTATAGGATTGCTGTAAGCTCTCTCTTGCCTGGAGACTCAATCAGGTAACAAAAAGTGTCAGAAAAACGACACCTCTGACCATTCCGTTATATGTCGTTTGTCCAGTCACAGATACCGTATGGACAGTCCGACCCAATACGGCTCAGTTTTTACACGCATCTTGCTCTGTCGGAAGGCAGAAATGATTTTATGAAGGCCATTCTGGGTTAACACCATACTTTTACAGAGAGGGGGAAAGGATTGGTTTCCCCCATGCTGACTCCGCCCCCCACAGCTATGACTCGACACCGACGCCAAGCCGAAAGGAAGCCACAAAGCCGACTACCCTTCTCTCCTTCAGGAGAACAAACATTGTCACATGGAATGTCAGGACACCGACCAAGTCTATACTTAATTATTTTTTAATGTGCTTCATTTTTAGCTCGTTGTTACCCTGTGCTGTTGCTTTTGAAACCATGAGCAAGACTTACATTCTTCTCACTGGCAGACTCTAGATTATAAAGCCCAATCTGGGTTTCGGACGGACAATAGAAAGCCTGTGAGTTATTATCCTCCAGCTCCTTAAGATGAATCACCCTGCCTACAAGGTAATACACAATGAATATATGATCAGTGTAGTAAATTCAGTGAGAAAAATGTCTAAAAACATCATCTGTACTAACTCACATCGACCAGAAGAACTGGGGAAAAGTCCCACCCTACAGTTTTTTTTTCCTCATTGAATATTCTGTTTTCAGAATACATTATTTTCCCCTAATGTATTGCACTGCGTGTATGAATCTGGCTTTAATAACTTGTGAGTTACTCACACCAGCCATGAAAGCGAGTTCAGGGGAGATAATGATCGCATCCGAGGTGAGGAAGCTAGCATGACTGCTTCCAATGTACCTTTCAGTCTCCATGGAAGCTAGGCATGCTGCATTCAGGCTTTGATCATGTGAGCGCCGATCGCTACTACTGTTTGTAGATAAGCTAACAGTTGTACTTGCAGCTAACCGAGCTGCCAGGCTCTCTCCAGGCAAACATCACCCCCTCCTTCAGATAGTTTATTTACTGTCTCACCACCCACACGATCCGCTGGGTGGTCGGTCTTATGTATCAGGAACTACGATGTTTGTTATGTGTGTGCAGTGTGCACTAAAGCAACTGTAAACATCAAAATCTCAGCTCTTAGAGCGGGAGGGTTTTGGTATTCTTTTTAAAATACTAATTTAAAGACAGGGAAGAAGATGTTTCTGTGATCCCTTTATAGTGTTTTTTTATTTTTGTGCATTTTGCATCTTTATAAGTCAGATAGATAGACAAAGAAAAACAGACAAAGATTGACAGAATGACAGGCAGAACAATAGAGGTATATAGACAAACAGACAGATATTTAGACAACAGACAGATATTTAGACAGAACGATATACAGAATGACAGATAGACAGAAGAACAGACAGAATGACAGACAGACAAATAGAACAATAGACAGAACGGTGGACAGAATGACAGAAAGAACAAGACTGACAGATAGAACAATAAACATAATAAGACAGATAGTCAGATAGACAGAACAACAGACAAACAATTAGACAGAATGACAGACTGACAGACAGAACAATAGTTAGTTAGTTAGTTAGTTAGACAGAACGACAGACAGAATGACAGATAGACAGAACAACAGACAGACAGACAGACAAATAGAACAATAGGCAGATAGTTAGAACAATGGAAAGAATGACAGAAAGAACAACAGACATAGAGAGAATGACAGACTGACAGATAGAACAATAGACAGATATTTAGACAGAGCGACAGACTGACAGATAGACAGAACAACATAGACAGAATGACAGACAGATAGACAGAATAACAGAATGTCAGATAGACAGAACAACAGACAGATAGTTAGACAGAACAACAGATAAACAGAACGACAGACAGACAGATAGAGCAATAAACATAGTTAGACAGAATGACAGACTGACAGATAGACAAAACAACAGACTGACAGACAGAACAATAGACAGATAGTTAGAACGAGGGACAGAATGACAGATAGAAAAAACAACAGACAGATAGTTAGACAGACTGACAGAACAGAACAACAGACAGATATTTAGACAGAATGATAGAAAGAATGACAGATAGACAGAACAACAGATAGATAGTTAGACAGAATGACAGACTGACAGACAGAGCAACAGACATATATTTAGACAGAATGATAGGCAGACAGATAGAACATCAGAATGATAGATAGACAGAACAACAACAGACAGATAGTTAGACATGGCAGACAGATAGACAGATAGTTAGAACAACAGACAGACAGAAAGACAGATACAGAACAACAGATAGACAGAACGACAGACTAACAAATAGAACAAAAGACAGATAGTTAGAACAATGGACAGAATGACAGATAGAAAGAACAACAGATATTTAGACAGAGCGACAGACTGACAGATATACAAAACAACAGAAAGATAGACAGAACGACAGACAAAATGACAGACAGAACAACAGAGACAGAGCGACAGACTGACAGAGAAAAACAGAGATAGTTAGAACAACGTACAGATAGACAGAACGACAGACTGACAGATAGAAAGACAGACAGACAGAACAATAGGGATGGGCGATATCTTATCGTTTGCGATATACCGGTAAAAATTCTCCACATGATAAGAATGCATCTTCCCGCAATAATAACGATAAAGTCTAGTTGTTGACATATTTCTGTGTGCGACTGTGTGGAGTGACGTGAAGGAAGGCGGACGTGAAATTGAGCAGCTCCTTCTACAATCTGGAACAGATTTGGATAGGGCTGTACAGTGCGACAAAAATCAGTCTGAGCCTTGAGTAAATGTACTACACTAGCACGTGTGCCACACAGTTTTACATGTGTATGAGTCGTTTGCAAACCTGTTGTCCAACAAAGATATTTTAATTTGTTGACATGCTCTCCATATTAACTTCATAACATAGTCGAGTGTTTGAAATAACTTATTTTTGTGATCAGACGTGGTTTCATATCACAGAATAAGGCAGAAATCATGCTATTTTATAGCATTATATACAGTGATAAAGGCTATGTCGATTAGCATTGCATTATAAATATACTCTATCCTTATAAAAAATACCCAAGATTGCTTGAAGAACACAGATACCATATATTTTGTGCAATCACGTGTTTATTGTCTTCAGGTTTCCTCAGTTAAAATTTCTCTATCTGCGTTTTATTCAGCTACAGCGATCACTGGATACCTTTGTCCATATTAGGGATTTCCTGGAGCGTTATTTCTACTATGCATATGTGGAGTTTCTGCACAAGGGCACCCTCCAGCTTCCAGTATTAATTAAACCGTAATTACATTACGTGTGTACTGCTCACAACACCCTATTTTGGGTAAAAATAGGAAAGATAATACTTTTCTCTAAAGAAACAGGATTCCCTAAATTATCGTCATTGATGTCGTTATCGCAATAAATATCAGAAATTATTGAGATATATTTTTAAGCCCATATCGCCCATCCCTACAGAACAACATACAGATAGACAGAACAACAGACTGACAGATAGAAAAACAGAGATAATTAGATAGAAAGACGTACAGATAGACAGAACGACAGACAAAATGACAGATAGAGAGAATGGCAGACTGACAGATAGAAAAACAGAGATAGTTAGAACGACGTACAGAACGACAGAATGACAGACAGATATTTAGACAGAATGATAGAAAGAATGACAGATAGACAGAACAACAGACAGATAGTTAGAACAACAGAATGACAGATAGACAGAATGACAGACAGAACAACAGATAGACAGAACAACGGACTAACAAATAAAACAACAGACAGACAGAACGATGGATAGACAGATAGTTAGAGAGAACGACAGACTAACAGATAGAACAACAGATATTTAGACAGAGCGACAGACTGACATATAGACAGAACAACAGAAAGATAGACAGAACGACAGCCAAAATGACAGATAGACAGAACAACAGAGACAGAGCGACAGACTGACAGATAGAAAAACAGAGATAGTTAGAACAACGTACAGATAGACAGAATGACAGGCTGACAGATAGAAAAACAGATAGACAGAACGACGTACAGATAGACAGAACAACAGACTTACAGATAGAAAAACAGAGATAGTTAAACCGAAAGACGTACAGATAGACAGAACGACAGACTGACAGATAGACAGAACAATAGATTGACAGACTGACAGATAGACAGAACTACAGACAGATAGTTAGATATAACGACACACAGAATGACAGATAGACAGAACAACAGACAGACAGGCAGATGGACAGAACGACAGACAGACAAATAGAACAATAGACAGATAGTTAGAATACTGGTATCGGTATCGGGCCCGATACTGAGCTCCTGTACTCGTACTCGTACTCGTTAAAATGCCCCGATACCAAACGCCGATACCACACAGCATGTGATAAGCGCCATATTCAGACAAAGAAACACAGACAACAGAACAACAGACAGCAGAATGGAGTTAAGGATGTCTACTACGAAGTATATGTATGCAATGAATATAACGAATATAACATTCAGTATTAACGCCTGTAAAGCTGATGTGCGCGAGCTGATAAACAAAGCACGCTGAGTGGATTGAGCGTGCGGCGGCGCAGATGCGCGGGCTTGTCGAGTGAATGGAGCAGCTCTAATGCTATTAAATTATAGATGATGTAGGCTACCATAGAGAGAAAAAAAATTAACAGTGAAAGTAACAAAAATATGTAAAATACATTTTAATGGGCATAATTAAGTGTGATATCAGGCGAGTACTGGAAAAAGTGGTATCGGTGCATCCCTAGTTAGAACAATGGACAGAATGACAGACATAGAGAGAACGACAGATAGAACAATAGACAAGAGCGACAGACTGACAGATGAACAGAACAACATAGATAGACAGAATGACAGAAAAACAGACTATGGTACAGACGAGGCGAGAAAGGAAAAAGAGATCTAAATGTTCATTACCACTACACCATGGCTTTAACAGCTTTCTTGCTTTATTAGTGGTGATTTTTGAATTGGACAAGTTAGAAACCACCTAGCAAATGTCCTAGAAATGACACGCCAGCAACCACTTGCTTACTAGTTTAAAACTTGTTTACACATGCTGCATTGTGTTTGTGTATTCATTTTAATTTTAGTTAAATGTTTAATAATTTTGTTGTGTTTTTGTCACATTATTAGTTTTTTATAGGTATATATACATATATATATTTATTCATTTTAATTTTAGTTGTTTTAGTACAAGTTAAACTAAATAAAAATTAGAAATGTTTCCTTTGCAACTAGCTGAAAAAAATAACTGTTAACGTTTATTTAATTTTAAGTAAAAATTTTTTGGTTTCTAGTTTAAGTTAAGTATATAAATCCTGAGATTATACCCCTCTTTTGGTCATAAGCTGTTTTGTAAACTTAAACTCATCTTACTTCCATCATCCCGTGCTCAGCATTTTTCATAAACGCAGTGCGAGTTCTGCCAGGTCGGAAATTGAACTGAAAGTCTGATGTTCCTGATATACGACGGCCTCATTGTCAGCGCCGTGGAGCATGCGCCGCTGACCTGGATTGAGTCTGGAACACGGTGATGAAGTATCCTCTTTTATCTGATTATACGTGCTGCTTCAGGTTCCCAGCCGACTGGGCTGTATCTTGCCAGAGCTGAATAGACCAGACAGCTTCGACTCTCTCCACACCCCACTGAGATGCTTATTTTAGCAACATGGCATTTTATTCTCCCCTATCACTTTGAGAGAGAATGTGTCCCAGCATTTAATGTGCTTTATAATGTCTGTGCACGCAAGACAAGAAGCCATCTCTGCGTATGGACACACTGCTATGTGAGTAACAGGTGCATTTAAATGCAGTGTTAATGTTTACTTTTTTTGAGGGGGGTTGTTTGTTTTAAAGTGTGGTCAAATGTACTTTTTTCGGCAAATTTTTGCAGGCAAAATTTCAGTATGAATCCACATTTTCCCACTGGAATTTCACAAGGGATTTCTGTTTTACTGTAACTAAAATGGCATTAAAATTAAAATGCTTTGTATCGTTATGTTGCACATTTGTTTTTGTTCAGTTTATTTTGTTTGTTTGTTTTACATTTGTACTGCAAATTTTTGTTGGTGAAATCCAGTCATTTTAAAAGGAAGCCATGCAATCAGGAATTTTATGTACGTAAGGGTAAAAAATTTCCTAAGGCAGATTTTGCAGCTGGTTTAAATTGGTCACACAGACTATACTATTGACAATAGGCAATGAACCTTTTTTGTTTGCAAAATTTTGCTGATGACAGTTTTGTTTAAATTTAGTCAGTATTTCTTTGTCATATTCATTCATTTTGGTAAGTTTTACTCTCACCAGAATGGCATATTGTCATATTTTCGTCAAGTTATTAAAAAAATTAAAACCCCTTAACAATCGCCATAAGGCGCATTGTTTTGTTTTTTGTTTTTGGTTGTTTGTTTTACAGTGTAGTAATATTTGCTGTTGTTTGGCATATTTCCATGCATTTGAGAATTTCAAATGGGGGCAAAATATTTCTATACACTGTCTTCGTAACATGTTTGAGTCGGTCACGCGCATTCGCCACATTGACCAACAAAAATTTGATTCGTTCGAAAGTGACTGCATACATCTACATTATTGACAATAGGCAATGGACCTTTTTCACCTTCAAGATTTTGTTAATGAAGTCTTTTGATGGCAACATTGTTTATTTTTAGTCATTATTTTGTCATATGAATAGCAATCCATGCAATCGGTGATTTCAAGTTGGTCAGAAAGAAAACTGTTAATTTGGATGTCACTCTTATAAACACTGTTGGGGTAATGTATATTTATATATGACACGAGTTACGTAATCAGATTACTTTTTTCGAGTAGCTAGTAAAATATCTGAGTTACTTTTTAGAATAAGTAATGCTAGTTACTTTGTTTTCCCATTTATCGAATAACAGCAAAAGTAACGTAACCGATTACTTTCCATAAAAAGTACCTAAGTAACATAATTAGTTGGGGTGCTCCGATCAGGGTTTTTGAGGCCGATCGCCGATCATAGAAAGCAGATCTGCCGATACCAATCACCGATACCGATCTTTTTAAAGCCTTCTTTTTATCATTTATAACTATTTATATTGATACTCCAGTCTGGATTTTTAGACATTTATTCAGGGCCTGAATTTCATTTTTGAAAATGGGGGGAATTCCCCTCTTAGGTGTCTCTTGTGAGAGGGGAAGCAGCACGGACTGTGCTTTCACAGAAGAGTCCGCTACTGACCCGTGGCTGTTTACCACAAACACAACATTTATCCATTATTTTGATTTCAAAGCCATGCTTTTTCAGCATTGCAATTCTCATTTATGATGTAATTACTACATTTTCGTGTCAATTCATGTTCATATTTACTTCAAACAATGTGCTGTTAATTTAATTCATCACTTGCAGCGCAGCAAAAATAGACTCGGTGCAGAAACGATCTCTGCACTGCAG